CACACACACACACACACACACACACACACACACACACACACACACACACACACACACACACACACACACACACACACACACACACACACACACACACACACACACACACACACACACACACACACACACACCTATACTTGTAAGGCCTCTATTTGAAATAACAGTATTATCTCCTTGCTACACTCACACTAATCTGTTCCTGTGAGGACCCTTATTGTCATTAAGTGACCTTTTCTTCAGCCCTTAAACTAAACATAAACCTGTTTCTGACTGTAACCCTAAAAACAGGACTGAATCATTAAAGTGAGGACGGGACAAATTAATGTCCTCACCTTTTCAAATTGTCCTCGCTACTCAAACTGTCAGAGTTTTCTGCAACTGTCCAAAAAAAGGTCTCCACTGTTCTTAAAAACGTTTTATCATCTTTACTTTTAAAAACAGTCACTTCCTTAAAAGTCTCCTCACTTTGAATTTTTGAAAAGTAAAGACCTTTTTTTGCAAACTGGTCCTCACAAGGACAGAAGAACAAAGGACACACACACACAGAGCTGACTTTTAGTTCCTGGTTTTATCTCGAGAGTCTCACTAACTCGTGTAAAGGTTAATGTTTACTGCAGTTATCTCTCTGCTCACATGAAGATGTTTCCACCAGAAACCATCTGAATTGTGACTCATAAAACCACAAAAACTAACCGAGCTCTAAACAAACTAAATGCAAACTTCATTTGCACTGAAGCTGAAATGATTCGACTTTAATCTTTCTGTCTTAATACGGAGTCACATTGTCAGATGCTACGATCATTCTTAAATGTCTGTCTGTTTATTTTTTGACTTCCCCAGTGAGGAGAGTCAGTTCCTGCTGGTTTCAGGTCAGAGTGGAGGAACGACTCCGGCGCCCCCCGCTGGTCGACCAGCGTCACTCAACAACCATCCTCGTTCTGACCAGAAGTCGGTGAAAGGCTTTCAGCATCAGCAGATACGTTTTACTTTAAGCATAAAACACATAAGACACATCTGTAAGCAGAACGAGAAGTAAAAAGCAAACTGCAGATGTTCAAGTGGGAAACGAAAGTAATCTGAGACAGACGCATGAATTCAATGCAAAAACCTTTTTTAATGTATTTGAATTCGTTTTTGAAAATAATTAACTTATCATTTAACAGAACAAACGACTGCATTTTTAATTAGCAAATTCAAATCGGGTTAACTTCACGTTTATTTGAAAAGAATGCAATTAACCAATTTACAATTACTTTTTAAAATTGATCAAATAAAAGAGCTCCCTGTTGATGTTAATGTTAATGTTGCACATGCACCGTTTAGTTTTATTCAGCCTGTAAATTAATGTCGTCTGTTTCTTTGGAGGAACTTTGTCACTTCTGAGAATATTAAAAATTATAATTACTGCAGAGCTACACGACAGACTGCATGCATATAACATAATTATAATAATAATAATAATAATAATAATAATAACAACAGAACTCTGAGGTCAGACTCTTGAAGCTCATTTAACAGCAGTGAGGATCATCTCCTCAATAAATGAACAGCTGTAATACTTTCCTGTGAGGGAAAGTTCATCACTCAGTGTTGACGTCGTATAGTTTCAATGAAGCGCTGGAACAACGTGAGACACTAAATACACAGTATTGTGATTCTGTCAGACAAGAATCAGACCTTCAAACCCACTGAAAGTGTGACGAGGAGTGAACCACCAGAGAGTGAGATCTCATTACGTAGTGGCGGACATTTTACATCGTCTCATATCTGAAAACCTCACTTTTACGTTAAAATCATGTCGTCATTCGTTTTTGTAACAGTAAATATATATACATGAATTTGTCATTCATCATTTTTAATTAAAATCATAATAAAATCAGGAAACGCTGTGTTTGAAGTTGTTGAAATGTTGAGACAGGAGGTAAACAACAACAACAACAACAACAACCGTGAACAAGAGTTAACGTCAGCAGATGAAGATGATGAAACTGATGATGAAGCACAGAGATACGCAGCCTGTGAGAGACAGAAAACTTTCTTCTTTTCAGTTCATTACTTACTTTTACTTTTCAACCTCAGCAGTGATGTCACTTCCTGTGTGGACCAGCTGACCGACGCCACAGAGCCTCGCGGCTCTTTCTGAAAACGTCCCCGTCGCGTCTGAATAATGAACATTTAACTGTCTGAATGACAAAAAGCCATCACTTTAACAGAAGCAGGACTTTACCGTATCAGTCCACTCTCCTGTTCTTTGTCTGTCCCCTCTTCATCACTCTTCTTCTTCCTCCTCCTCTCCGCCTCTTCTTCCTCCTGTCTCATCTCCTCCTGCTCTTTCTCCAGCTCCACCTGTTCTTTGGCGTCGGCATCCTTCAGTTTCACCTCCACGTCCTCAGGAATGTCCACATCCATCAGGTTCTCCATCCCCTGCTCCGGCTCGTCTCCTATCAGCACCTGGAGGGAGACGGAGGACGGACATGGGCCAGTTTATTAGGTACACCGAGTTAAAGCTACTATGAGGAACTTTCATTGACGGTTGATTGTGGCGGTCTCTGTGGTGTTTGTGAGCACCAGAATATGGTCCAGCAATACGACCTGGGTCTCCACTGCACAGTGACCTGTGATGTTCCTATCAAAGCGTCTGCCATGAAGAAGTTCTATTGTTGTGCTTTTTGTTCCTGATTCAGGACGTTATCAGACTGAAAAGTCAAATGATCTGTTCTGTCTGATTTAAGGTTAAAGCTGGTCACGGGAGGTCTTCATTCATTCATTATTCACAAAACAGATCATGGTTCAGTTCTTCTGTTGGTTGTGTGTGTATGAAAATAAACAACAGCATAGAAATACCCGTAATCAATTTGTTCAAAATGTCTTGTTAGACATTTGTGCGAAATTGTCATAATGAGCATATTAATTATTTAGTTATGGCCAAAGACAGTGATCTTTCATCACCAAATTCTAATCAGTTCATCTTTGAGTCCAGGTGGACATTTGTGCCAAATTTGCTGAAATTCCCTCCAGACGTTCCTGAGATTTAATGTTCACAAGAATGAGGACGGACATCTTAAAAACACATAATAAAACATGAAAACGAGGCTGTGATTGTGTTTGGAGTCAAAAACAATCACAAACACACGAGTGATCCGTTTCCTGTTTTTGATTGACAGGAGCACAACAGCAGCACACAGTACGATTGACTTTATTGTTTTGTTTTATTAAAAAACACGATTTTATAGTTGACTATTATAATTCCGTTCGCCATTGTTTGGGTGCTCAGCCATCAGAGGTTTCTCATGATTTGGCGTTTAGTGTCACTAGTCGATGTATTTGACAGTAATAATTAAGATGAATTTGATCTTTCCTACCTGGACCAGCTTCTCACAGGCTGCTGTGACGTGGACGTCCTTCTCCCAGCTGTGGAACTCTCTCATGATCGGATAAACGCTCTTGTCTTTCAACGTGTCCCGGCCGGCTCTGGTCGCTGTCAGCTGCAAAAGAGACGAACGGGCAAAGTGTTCGTTATGAAAACAACACGAGTCTAAATGTACGTCTGTGTTTTTCTTTTGTGTCTGTTTTCATTGCGTCGTACCAGTAAAAGTGTTTCCAGCAGCATCTTTCTGATGTCGGGGTCGTCTTCTCTCTTCTTGTCCTCGGGGAGGTACTGCAGGTCCACCGGTAGACCTGAACACCACATCAACCTCTGTTAGACTCACAGCCAGCGTGTCCCACTATTACACTCCCCTGCACACTCAGCCCCAAGCCCATTGGTTCCTACTCAACACATAAATCATTCAAATATATATTCATACAGCTGCTCACTGTGGTTTATCAAACGTTACTTTCACAGGAAGAAGTAGTGCATTTATTGGGGACTATTTTCAGCGGTGGATTAATCCAGCGCCTGCTGGATTAATCAGTGTGTGTCATTAATCAGTGTGTGTGTGTGATTGAGTCAAAATAAACTACAGTGTGTGTGTTCATGGTGATGAATGAATATGTCACCCAGTGCAACAGACTCATTGATGTGTTTTTAATAGTTTCTCCACAACAACGGAGCTCGATGACCCAGAGGAACAACATTTATCAGGGTTTCATACCAAGAAAACACTATTTTGCTCTTTTCATGGTATTTGTTGACAAAAGGAAATATAGAGAATACATCCACAATCGCTCTCTAAAATATGAACACTCAGAAGAGTTGACTACTAGAAACACACCTTCGTTCTCTTCCTCCGTCAGCTCCTCCGGACCTGCCAGCGGCAGCAGCAGGAAGGGCAGGATGTCCACGGCGTCGCTAAGCAACCACTCATGCTGGGCTGCACAGACGTAGGAGAAGCTTGGGATCAGATGACTGGAGGTAACGTCGGACTACAGTTCAGTCACATGGTTTATTCTTTTGGTGTAAATTAATATTATTTTAGGATTCAGTAAGAGGCTTTAAAGGCTGTAAAATTCAATTAAATCAGTTGGACAAATGTAGAGGCAACTTCCCCAGATTCTGACGTAGATTACATCTTAAAGAGACACATTTACACTTTCTCAACATGCATCGTATTTTAAATGCTTCTTGGATGCATTTACGATGATTTCGTATCACACAGCTGTCCGATACACATGGCATGTGGCGTCAATGAGGTCTCTGTGCGTCTCACCGTGGTCAAAGCAACAGTTGCGCAGCGTCCCTATGACTCCGCCTCTCCTCACCACCGACGCCCGGTACTGAGTGAAGGGAAACAACCTCTGGATTACACACCTGCAACACACACAGATAGTTACAACGTGCTGCCGCAGCTGCACCCACACGATGTCTAGATTTCTATTGACTCAACTGTGAATATTTGGGTTGTAGTTCAGAATACTTCTTGAACCAAATATTACCACTGATTTAGACTAATGCACTCTGACTAAAGCAGCAGCTTCAGTCCTCCAGTCTGTGTCCACACATGATGCGTTCAGGCACATTATTTAGTGTGGGTCAACAAATAATCACTGCAGTTACCGACGTACAAATGTGAAGAGGAAGAACAATAGACTTAAAGCAGAAAATATGCTTTGGTTATCTTTGGTAGTTGTTGATGTATCGTTCACACAGCGAGTGTCGTTGTTGTGTTTAAAACTTTGGTCAATCTCCTCTTTCTTAAATTCTGACTGGCCCTGTATTAAGAAGGAAATGCCCACTTTTTACACATCTGGCAAAAATATCCGTTTTGAAAAAGTCCCATAACTGGGCGACGTAGATCTCCCCTCTGTCTAAACATCAGTTCTTGTCCCGCAGTGTTTTCAGTCACCTGTCTTTGTCCATCAGGTAGTTTCTAGCCTCGGGCAGCTGCGTCAGGTTGGACAGCAGCGGACCCAGATAGTGGTGCTTTGCCTTCTTGTTGTAGTCTTCAGTGCAGAAGATGTCCACCAGCTGAGCCAGACCCACGTCCTCCTGGAGGACCTGAAACAAAGAGGAAACACATCTTGTTCTGATGACCTGAGAGGCTTCGTGTACCTGTGTGGCATCAGCAGCTCACTGAAATATGGTGGAGTCGAGCCCGGGACCCACCTTGAACACGGTCTTGCAGGTCTTGGTATGGCGGGTCAGGTTGGACAGGATGGAGCAGATCTGATCAGAGAACAGGTACTCTGGATCCAGAAGCTTCTTCAACAACACTGGAAGAACTTTGACATCTGTCACCAAAACCTGGACGAGACACAACCAAGAACAGCTGTTTGTCTTCAACGAGGCTGTAAACACTGAATCCACAACATCTCTGAGGGCCCAACAGCTTTGTTTTGTTTTATTTCTCTCAATCAAGACGGGATTCTGCTGATCATTTAGGACTGGTCACCTGGTGCAGAGTCTCGTCAGCTGACAGGTTGATGAGGATGTAGTAACAGTCCTTCACAATAGCAATAGAGGGGTCAGACGTCAGAGCAAACACAGCAACCAGTAGCTCAGGTTTAGAGCGGAGGAAGCGGCAGCCGTCCCTGAAAACAAACACACACACAAAAAAGAGAGTTACATGAAACGGTTTTATATCGTCAGGGTATTCGTGCTTTGATTGATAATTTAATTGATAACTGTGTGTTAGAATACTGCACCTTATGACCTTAAGATATGATAATAATGTGGTAAGCAGGTCTAGAGTCATGTTGAGGTGATGTGTCGGTGGGGTTATAATTATCTGTTTATTTATCTGACGTTTGCCTATGGCATATGATGAATCTCTGAAATGACTAACTAATGAATCTCTATCTATCCATCCATCCATCCATCTATCTGGCCTCAGGGAGCCGAGCAGAAACAAGAGTGATGGGTGGGGCTGGGCAATATGGAGAAAATCAAATATTATGATAGTTTTTACTAAATACATCGATATTGAGGGTTCGACTCTTGGTGCTTTCATAAAAACATTTACCCAATTAAGTATTTTTTAATAAGTAATGATCAGTAATGTGGATATAATGACATCGTCGTCGTACCTGTGTCCTGAAAGTCCCAGGATGGAGCCTGTGGTGTGACCTTTGACATCAGGTCGTGTGTCGGGGCTCAGGAAGGAGAGCAGCTCTGCAGCCTCAGATTCACTCAGCATCTTCTAACAGTCTGATAAACACAAGCACCCTTCAGCTGGGACAACAGAACAGAACAGTAAACTACTGATTTTATATATATATATATATATATATATATATACTACGAGCCTCACTGACTGAACTTGAAATGTATGTTGCTGACTACTGTGTCATATAAAAGATGCATTTGCTTTTTTTCTCAACATAAAAATGCCTCAATAACAACGTTAATAAAAAAGAAGACATTGTAAATCATGCAGTTGGTGGATGAGTTGTGTTTGTTGTATTTTATACTGTTGACACTGTGATATAAACGACCAACGTCCACTGGGACAATAAAGTATCTTATCTGTCTTAAAAAATAATAAATGATTATTAAGCCCAACGTTACGTCCACTGTTTACTTTAGTCAGTACGTTTGTTGCCATGTTGGATACATGATGTAATTACTCAGAAAATTAGTCAAAGTTTCCACGAAAGGAACATTTGACAGAGACCTGTGCTTAACTCTTGGACGCTGAATGACATTTAAGTGTCTGTTTTTAAAAATAATACCCACCTGTTATAAAACTATCTTACCTTTAACGAGCTATAAGACTTATCCACTTTTCATTTCACTGTTTCACCTCTTTTATACTTGTCTCCTGACATTAAACAACACGCGTACAGGATACATGTGGAGCCCACAGAGAAAATACCGCATACTTCCGGGTTGTCTTCTTCTTCGTCTCCTTTTCTGGCAGGTTGAACAGCGCTGAGTGGACGCCACTGCCCCCTAGTGTTCGCCACATGTGCAGGCCTCCGGTTTGACGTGCTCAGCTGGATCTCGTTAAAGCTGGATAACATCCCAAAACTGACTTAAGGACATTTTGTACCATCAGAATGAGACAAAAACAAACAGTGAAACTATATTAATTTAATTTTAAAGGTGTGGAAATTTTCCATTGATTTCTTTTATACACCTTTATATATTTTATAGTGTTTACATTTCTGTAAATTCTCTCTCTCTCTCTCTCTCTCTCTCTCTCTCTCTCTCTATTACAGTTTGTTAATTGTATTATTACTGTACACCTGGTTTCCACAAATATATATTACTTTATTTCACATTTTATATATTTATCCTTTTGTTATATTTCTGTACTATTTTATGTCTTAAATACTATTTTTTATTTTTATACATATTTGTTAGAGCACCGTTGAAGGGAGTCTGAGCTCTAAGATTTTCTTGCTCACTTTAATAAATAACTTATCTTGCTACAAAATATGAATGATATATTTACAGTTTAAAACACCCTTTGTGCTTTATCACTTGTTTTCACCTACTTGTATGTAGATAATATTTCTGTTTTTCTTTGTTGTCCTTGTTTTTAGCTGTATGTATATCTATCTTAAACTGTTCTGTGAGTAACATGAATGTTCAACTATTCTCAAAAGTTTATTTGATATTTAAGACACATTTTTAAGGGTTTGCTAATCATTCTTTTACCTCTCTGCATTTGTTTTTTAGTATATTGCTTGAGTGAAAGTATTTATATTGGTACATGTATCTATTGTGCAGCCTCAGTAATTTATAATTGTCTGCTGGTCAGTTGCTCAATAAAACTGTGCTTCAGTTGACCGGAGAATTGCTGCAACCAGCAATCACCACTTGGCATTTCTCCCTTTTCTTTCACCCGTTTTTAAAAGACTGAATTTATAAAATGAATTGCATCAATCACAAAGTAACATCCATGAAACTTCAGTCACACTTCATGTTGGTCACAGTCACAAAATAAGGTGAGTGTGCTGCTTATTTAAGTAAAAAAATAAAAAAAACAATGGCCACTATTATTAAAGGCACCCTGAGGTGTTTCTTCCTTTGGTTTTACCAGTAGTAGTACACCATGGAGCAATATCTTTACAAGTTGTTTCATTCCTGCCGCCATTTGTTCTCTTCTTCTGATCGACAGTAACTTACAAAGCCCAGAAATCTCAAAGGCAGTGAAGAAGACGACTAGAAGCCGGTAAACACAGATGTAAACAATGCTGAATTTAACTCTGCATAATATTATTATTAAAACATTGTTTTAGACTTCAAGGATGCCCATTTTTGCAGTCAGAGAGCACCATTAACTTGTAATTTACAACAGGAGTTTCTCTTCATACACGATGACACAAAGAAACTGTGTCAACATATGATGCAAAAAAAGCTCGTCAACAATGTTTGATACTGAAATCATATTTGCAATTGTTGTAAGAGAAACTCGCGTTTCTTAGACTTTTGTTTGATCACCAGAAAACTTCACACGGACGTCTTTAAACTTCAAAACTACTTTATTGATATATTGGGGGAAACAAAAACACAAACAAGACAATTCACATAGTTTAGTCCCACCAGCAACAGCTCCCATTCAGTCCAAAAGTTGCATTGAAATGCTAATATTGCATATAAACGTTCACGAGTGTTGCCTGCACCACAGCACAGTGTTCGCCTTCTGATTAAAAAGGTACAGCTCAGCCATCACTGAGCAGTTCAGACAACATCAGGAACTTTCCCTCTCAAAACAACCATCAATGAATCAAGTGCTGCTCAATGTCTCTTTAAATCTTTAGAAAACAAAAAGTAAACATTCTTTAAAAAAGGTCCAGCACGGCATTTTGACGTTTCACACATACCGAAAACAAAACACTTTAACAATAATAATATAGCTGTGGAGAAAGAGCTGAGCCCAGTATTTGTCTCCAGACATTTCAGGGAAGTGTTCCGACATGCAGCTCCGAGGCTGCTGGGTGAAGGAAACGCCCCGAGGCTCCTCCAACGGTTTAAAGTAGGTCAGTAGACTGAACGATGTTGCCGAATCGTCCGCTCAAAATGCTGAAACATTTGTATTTTATTCTCAACACACATTTCAATAGTACTTTGATACCTTGGAGTTAAAACAGCACGTTTAATTCTGAAACATGTCACTTAATGTGTAGGTTTGGAAAAGACTGAAGAGGAGGAAAGAGGAGAGCCTCAGTCTGGATTGTAGACACATGGAAATATTCATCCCGGTTCATACGACCCGCCTGGAGCCGGATGATCACTTCCATACGCATAAATCCTCCCCAAGTCAGATGACGAAGTTCTTATGGAGCGTTTCAGTGACTCAGCATTCTGGAGATTCTTTGTTGTCGTAGGATTACTGAATCTGTATTTGCATTAAAAGTCTGGATCTTTGAACGGTGACGAGACCGGGAATAAGCATCAGAAGGCACTGTGTTTGATTGGCAGACAGAGATCAGCTGGCAGCCTCTCGTTGTTGGTCCATCATCATCATCATCATCGTCATCGTCTTCATCCTCCTCGTCGTCACTCGGCCTTGTCTTTCCTCTTTGAGGTGAACGAGACTTTGCTGGCGACCGTCGAGCCCACCGAGGAGACGCCGCCGGCCACGGCCGCCACCCCGCCCTTCACCAGCCCCACCCCCATGGAGGGCACCGTTGTCACGGCCGACTTGGTGATCTCCAGGCTCTTGCCGCCCACCCAGGCCACCCCGCCCACCGCGGCGCCCACGACCCCCTTGGTGACATTGAAGAGGCCGCCGGTCACCCGCCACATTATGCCGGGAGCCGGCACCACGTGGTCCTTACCGGGATCTGTGAACAAAAAGCAAACATACGCGAAGCGTCAATATCCAGTTTTCTACAATTAACCTATAAATAAAACTATGCTGCTTAGTTCCTAGACACTCTTAAAGTTACTACAAGGATCCTTTCATATGGTGCTGGTTTTGTTAGTCCCTGTGGACAAAAGCGGCAGTGTTTCCAAGCACCACAGTCCCTAAAGAAAACCTCTCATTTTACAGCAGCAGAGGTCTGACAGGGAGCCTCTCAGTCCTGGTTCTGGTTCTCCTGGGCCTCCCTTCCCTCCCTCCAGCGGGCCCGGCAATACGGCCCGGGCCTCCAGCAGCGTGGTGTCGGCTCCCAGAGAGGAGAAGCTCTGCTCCTGACCAGGAGCAGAGCTTCTCCTCTGCTCCTAAGACACTGCTGTCTCGCATCTGGTGTAAACTCCGGATTAAGACCAACCCACCGAACTCGTGAGTTCAGTTTAACACGACTCTTGCAAGACACCCGTGAGGCTGAACTGAGGCACAGCGGTGCTTTGTGTGAACATGCTAATACCAAAATGCTAACAATGACAACGCTAACATGCTAATGTTTAGCTGGTATAATGTTGTGTTTTCCTTGCTCATGTTAGCATGTTAGCTTGCTAACATTTGCTAATTAATTAGCACAAAAAACACAAAGTACAGCAGAGGCTGATGGGAAATGTCTGTAGTTCTGCAGCTATTTGGACATAAACAAAAGTCAGACATTAAATACTTATTGGATTCATCCTCTGGGAACCATGAATGTACCAAATTTCATAACAATCCATGAAATACTTGTTGAGATATTTCAGTCTGGACCAGATGACTTCTATATCTTGGGGTGTAATTGGTGCTTTAACATCTTTCTTAACAACCCCTCTACTAGTTTAGTAAACAGTCATCAGAAGACACAGACAACAGAACAACGCTAACAGTGATGTTTACCGAGAGCAGCAGGAGACTAAACTGGTGCAAAGTGTCCCGGCGATACAAATAGCAGCTGTTACACAAACAGACTAACTCCCCTGGCAAAACCAACACTTTCTGAAATAGCAGCAGCAACATGTGAGCACGGATTGCACCATATTCCCCGCTGGTGTTCCAGCGTTTAGCCACACCCTTTGGGAGCTCGCCGCTTACCCTCTGTGGGCTCGCTGTCGACGGGTTCAGCTTCGTCCGGGGCCATGCTGGTCCCAGGCTGAGGCTCCACGATAACGCTGTTCACATTCTGCAAAACAGAAAAAACAAATAGACTCTTTACTCCGAATACGACAACTTTCACACCGTTTCTCTACTTTTAATATGTTCAGTACATGCCGGTGTATCAAACCGTGTCACAGATATGACATACATACACCATCTTCATAATCTTGTTGACTTCTTCTTTGATCAGATATTTCAAACACAATTTTGTGAATTTAATCCTGTATTTCATACATTTAGAACATCATTTAAAGGGGCTGATGAAACCCAATGATGTCAGAGTGATGTCATCAGGGTAGTCTCAGTTTAAACTCACTGAAGTTTAATTTCAAATAAAGCCTGTCTTATAAACTGGTGGTGTGGAGTTTGGAAGATGTTGGTTGTTTATTGGCAAGAAGGGTCTAATGAAAGATGTTGTCCAGCTGCATTGTGGGAAATGTAGGATCCAGTGTTTTTATAGCTTAACTCATACTAGCATCTTTCTGACAATCTGTAGGAGGGACGTCACAAGAAAAGCAAAAAAAAAAAAAAAAAAAATCTTTATTGAAATCATCAGGAGAGCCAGTTAATGTTAGCAGTTAGCTGCTTGCTAACTAAAGGAGCTAACAGCTAACAAACAGAGGGTGCATTGGGGTTCATTATGCTGCGTTCAGGCTCTATTCAGTAAAAATTAGTATTGGGCCAAGTTAATTATAACGTTAACATTGATGTGTTCAAATGTAATATTGTAAAATGAATGTATAAGAAGAAGATATGCATTATGTAGAAGAGATTTATAGCTTTGTGGTATCGAATTGAGTAACAAGAATCATGGAATTTCACTGGTATTTGTTTTGACAACTATATTTCTGGTCCTGTGACATCTAATCTCTACTAAAGTATCATGTTAGCATTAAACATGAAAAAGCCAACACATGATGATGACTTATTGGAGGCCACTTTAGTAAATGTATGTACAGTCTGAATATAAACACTTTAATCCAGTCCTAGACATAAACTACAGACTGAACCTCACACTGGGTTTGTGCTCTTGTCACTAAAGTCTCACAGGAATCCATTGACACTGAATTGATGTCGAGATAGAGATAGAGAGATAGAGATATAAAAGAGAAAACTACTTCAAACCCCGTCATTCAGTGTGAGACAATCTACTTCAACTGCATGACGGATAAAACAAACCTGTCTAACCGACTGGAGTCATATTTAAATATCTGACATACTTATCACATATAAATACGATGTTTAATTAATGTGACCCAGGGAGCTCAGTTTATACATTTTCACTTTTTAAGCCACTGAAGATGGAATCATGACACAAACTGGCCTTTTTGTTCACGTTTTCTGTTTCAATTGACAGAATATAAATAGATAAAGTATAATAAATAGCTTTACAGGCCCTTCTGACTGGTGTCCAGGTCTCTGTGGGTCAGTGGTTTTAACCCTTTATGACCTGTGACCCTTCATATGAGGCCTCCTTATTACAGGCGAGGAACTGCAGCTAAACCGTGACGCTTCGATTATGAAACGACACGTAGAGGCTTCAAAATCAATGTCCATATCACACGTTTAAAAATAGACCATTTCCTTTAATATAAACCACCACCCCACCCCATGTCGGTTCTTCTTGTGACCCCACAGAAAGGGGGTCTGTTGATCAAGCTCTGATAAAAACCTAACGTCAGAAAATGTGTGTTTTAGTTTAATTAAATGAGGATTTGCTGGATGAGAGTTTGAGCAACATTCACAGGAAGCTGTGACGCCTCGTTTAAAAGCTGCTGCACAGATACTGTTCTCAGAGAAGAAGAGGCCACGTTTCACACTAATAAAATAAAACCATATTCAAACTCCACATCATCACTCGAGCAGCCTGCAGCTGAAGAACGGGTCACACAGCCATGTTGTTATAACAACCCCCCCCCCCACACACAGTTTATGAAGCACATTTCTACTTATTCTAACATTAATAAGGATGCCGGTTGGTTCTTACCTTCACCATTGTTCCCAGTGCTTCTGCCTCAAACACACCTGGCAGAGAAACTTGAGACAGCTTCTGTTTCAGCTCCCTAAACCTAAACTGTGCCTTGAAACACTGTTTTCTCTCAGTGAGTGGAAACCTGCTGCTGACTGTTAATGCCGTCTTCTTCTTCGTTGGTTTTTCGCGGTGTTATCGCGTTAAAAACTCAATTAAAGTCAAAATGAACCCGCTGCTTTTATAACTTCTCCTCACGCACACACACACGGAGCTACGCAGCTCTCTTTTCAGCTCTTTGCTGGTTCTGCCGACGTGGCGCCTTCAATAGACACACACAGATATATACCCACACGCACACACACACACACACTGTCAAAGTACACACACAACAACGCACGAGACTTCCGTTTAGCCCCTTCAAATTAAAGCTCTTCTCAGTGATGAGGTGGACTACTTCAAGGTGATAAAGTGAGTGTTAGAGGTGGAAGTATTCAGGTAAAAGTAATAATTAACCATTTTAAAAAAAGTACTTTGTACCAATTAAAGTTATACATTTAAAATGCAATCTAAAGGGACAGTTCACCCCTTAAATAAAAAAATATATTTATCCCCTCTTCTCCTCAGTGCTATTTATGATTTTTTTTGTTTTGGTGAGAGTTGCCTAGTTTTGGAGACATATCATCCGTAGTGCCTCCGATAAAGAAATAAGCGTTGAACAAATCTTCATAAAAATAAAAACTGACACATCTTGGGACGACAAGACTCTTCTGCCAATAAAGTGGAATTTTTCTGTGGAGGAAACTGAAGTTCAGACAAATTCAGTGCGTTTACACAATGTCTAAAATACACAGACATGACCGGAACTGTTTCAGTATTATTTTTGTTAAGTCTGCTTTTATAATTAGGAAATAAGTACTTTTACTTTTTTCTAGCATTCGTCGATCAATGGCTGCTGTTTGATTCCACAGTAAAAGATGCCACTCTGGCTGTTTTCATAACCTCAAGCTAATTTGTTTCGGACCGTTATTGTGAAAACCGGAAGTCGCGTGTGGGCGGTTGATGCAGCTTCAGCTCCGGTTCCAGCTCCGGATCCAACTCCGGTTCCAGCTCAGGATCCAGCTCCGGACACTGCATCACCAGAACACTGTGTGTACTATGTGACATTAATGTTTCTGATCTATGATGGAGATGGGAAGGGAGACTCACGTGTAAAGTGGCATGTGCTGCACACACGCACACACGCACACGCACACACACACACAGGCCTGTATTGAGTCACATATAGACCGGGACCATAAAGTTATAGATAGTAGAAATAGTCAAGGGTCAAGTGCTGCAGTGATGTTGGCAGCAACTTACATTCACTATAGAATAGAATAGAATAAAATAAAATAAAATAAAATAAAATAAAATAGAATAAAATAAAATAAAATAAAATAAAATAGAATAGAATAGAATAGAATAGAATAGAATAGAATAAAATAAAATAAAATAACTGTCATGTACATTCACAGATATAAAACAGATGATAAAATAGAAATATGATTGTATTTTGAGAGCGGAACAGAATCTAAAATAAACTAATTCAAAATAATATAAATACATTATTACATAAAAATGGACAAAGATAAAATCAATGTGGATACACTAAATAAAAGAGACATAAAATACATTTAAATGTATTTACTTTATTTAAACTCAAAATTCAGACTCATTTTTTAAAAACGTTGATTCTTACCTTTATCTCACCTAATATGTTTGTTAATTTATATTTTGTATCAATAACCTAAACTTGCATGTTGACTAGTCACTGATAAACTAGCATGAAATGGAAATACTCAAATAAACTACAAGCACCTAAAAACTGTACACAAGTACAATACTTAGGAAAATGTACTTTCTATTATTATATCTTAACGTCGTTTTTATTTTTGTTCAGGCATATTGTAGGACGCCTTGTTTGGGGTCCTCACTGGAGGCTCGGCGCCAGTCTGCCCGGTACATGAAGCAGAAGTAAATACGAGTGAAAACTAGTGAGAAATCTGTGAAATCAAGTCGTTGAGTCTTCAGTCGTCCAACAATGAATCTAGAGCTGCTCGGTAATTATAATTAATTCGTCTTTGTTCTCAACGAACCTGACTTTTTCACATAGAACATGCTAACACTGTGTACTTGTTGTGGTTAGCATTGCACGTTAGCCTAGCATGCTACCATCAACCAAAACGACGAGTCAAATAAAAATAAATAAAAATAAATTTATTTGTAGATCCACACTGTTAATCTATGTTAAACGTTACATGTGTTCCTAACGTATCTGTCTGAGTGTGTATGTAACGTTTAAACTTATGTTAAAATAATAATAATAGCAGATTTAGCTCTTAGGCTAACGTTAGCTTCATACATTGTCTCTCATTGTAGCGTTATTTGAATTAAATGTTAACTCACGAGGAACTACAGACCGTTACTTTACGTCGTGTTATTTTTATCATATTTATTATTTATTACAACAAGGCTACGAAGCTCGTGCCGTTATTTTATGTTGATAAAATCAACACACAGCTGGTTCATATGACAGCGAGTAACTGTTTATATTCAGGAACATGATGATGGAAAGAAAGTAACAATGCAAAATGGATTAAAGAAAAACATGGAAATGGCAAATTCCATAAAAATAATGAAGTCTTAAATAAATTTCAAGCCGAATAATTGTTTTTTAAACAGTCTTGTATGTTAATGTAGTCCAGGTTTGACATGTCTAAAATGTTTTTGTTTGTTTATCTACAGCTGGTTTGTTATGATCTGGATGGAGGAAAAGCAGTGAGATCAATCTGATTTCTGAGTCAGAAATAGAATAATACTTTTTAAACTAGTCTAGTTTTGACAAGTCCAAGTAGTTACTTAGTTACACATGTGAGGATTGATTTTATACCGAAATAAGACTGTTAGTACGATGTCTATTACCGGTCTTCATCTGTAAACATAGAAAGAAAAGGGAATCAACAGAGAAATAACATCTGTTTAATTTCTCTAAGTGTTCTCATTAAGGGTATCTTTTGACTTGTGAAAAAAACCTGAATTTATTTAATTTCAGTTTGTTGGAGAAGAAATTTTGGAATATCTAAAGGACACGTTTCAAGTCATCGTGTACATTTGCTGCTTCACCCTATTTGTTGGGGCATTCTTTCATGTAAAAAATAAGTAAATGTTTTTTTTCCTTGTAAATGTCCACACAGTTCTTTCTTATGAATTACTGGCTCAGACTTTGGATTAAACGTCAGGATTTCTCTCACTTTACTCATGGATAATTTCCTGCTTCTTTCTGGTGAATATTCTACTTAATTGTTTAAAGTTTATAGTTGAAGTGTTGAACGTACTCGATCTTATTTCCTGATGTGTTTGAAATGAACATTTGACTTTAATCTCAGATTAGTAAACGTTATCTCTGTAGAAATGAAAACATCCTTGACTCTACTGCTATTCCATGCACTCGGCCGCACCACACAGAATATCTGTACCATGTTGATGAGGATTGAACTAGTGGGAGGTTGTGTTTCTGAGTCGACTGGCCCTTAAGTCCATCCTGTATGAATGTTACTTTTTCTCGTTGAATGTTTCTCATCATTGTATCTTTGATATTTCTCTCATAGAGTCATTCGGGCAGAACTATCCAGAGGTAAGCCACCAGCTCTTCATCAAGTTATACATTCCTATGTGAAGCTCCCGGACTGATGCAACTCTCTGGTTTGTTTTTATTGTGTATGTTTTTAGGAGGCAGATGGCACTCTGGACTGTATCAGTATGGCCCTCACCTGCACCTTCAACCGCTGGGGCACCCTGCTGGCTGTGGGCTGCAACGACGGACGCATCGTCATCTGGGACTTCCTCACGCGGGGCATCGCCAAAATCATCAGCGCACACATCCACCCGGTCTGCTCTTTATGGTGCGATGCACTCAGACACATCCACCTATCACCTGCTTCATCCTAAACTACATGCACACGTCATGTCCAATAACATTTTAATGATGAATGGTGTATTTATATATATATATATTTGTGTGTGTGCAGCTGGAGTCGTGACGGTCACAAGCTGGTGAGTGCCTCCACAGACAACATTGTCTCTCAGTGGGATGTCCTGACGGGAGACTGTGACCAGAGGTTCCGCTTCCCGTCACCGATCCTGAAGCTGCAGTGCCACCCCAGAGACATGTGAGTGACCCGAGAGCGCCCGTCTGTCCGTTATTTCATCTGATGAGTTTGACATCACAGGATTTAATTTACAGTTTAATTTACCTTTTTAATCAGTCGTAAGTTAAGTTAATACACTTAGCTACTTTGAACTTACAAGAAATGATGTTTGTGATCCAGGGACAAGGTGCTGGTGTGTCCCATGAAGTCGGCCCCGGTGCTGCTCACTCTGTCAGACTCCAAACACGTCGTCCTGCCTGTTGACGACGACTCGGACCTGAATGTGGTGGCGGCCTTTGACAGGCGGGGGGAGTACATCTACACTGGCAACGCCAAAGGAAAGGTGAGACAACACTTCATTCACAGCGCACCTTTCAGTCACGTGACTGTATTTCTAGACAGAAACAGTGAATATGAATTTTATAGAAGGGAAAAAGCCAAGCGCTTTAAGTTGTAGATCTAAAATGAGAAAATGTCCAGAGATAGAATATAAACAGACACTCGCAGATAACAGACCTCCACACAGACTGCATCTACTTTCACCTGCATTATTATCCCGTGGATCAGATGAAATAAAGGTTAAATGAAAACCAAAACATGTGTGAATATCTCTCCACTTCACTCACACATGTCTCCCTCTGTCTGTTGTTTTGCAGATTCTGGTGTTGAACACAAACACTCAGGAGCTGGTGGCTTCCTTCAGAGTGACAACTGGCACCAGCAACACCACTGCCATCAAATCAATTGAATTTGCACGCAAGGGCAGGTGAGCGGCAACAGGAAGTCTTTCGGTATCGAGATCCTTTATGTTTGAACATCTAGACTACACAACCCATTTAACATCAGGCTGTGGTCAATATAAGATCTGTAATGACCTGTTCACATTAACAATGTACCGTCTATAAGCGGTGCAGACGGTTTGAAGTAGTGTAGCTTGTGATCCAGCAGAGGACGCTCTGAGCATTCACTATCAGCTTGATCAAGATAAAGCGACACCCCTAGGCTCTAGTCCACATGGAGTTCTCTTTGCTCTGTGACACAATCTAAATGATTCCATGTTGATGGAAGCACAGATCCATATTACAGTATGTACACATGATCCACAGAAGACAGCACTTACTTTTAAAGCCCCAGCTGTGACAGCAAAGCTCTTCCTGTGCCC